CAGCAGCTCTAAAAGGCTAGCTCCACTCTCCATACTCCCCCCTCCCCCAGGCACCAAATCAGTTCACCTGTGTGGGTTCTGGGCCAAGATGGTGCTGAAGCTCTCCAGGTGACTCCACTGTGCAGCTAGGATGGAGCAGCAGAGAGACCAGGGCCCAGGCCTCACCTCAGAGTTAGCACCAAGATAGAGCACCTGCCTTGTGTTACACCTCCTGCTCTCTCTAGTTGGGACAAGCAACTCCCAATCTCGATTCTCAGGATGAATCTCTATCAGAGAATAGAGAGATTCTGACAGTTGCCATTCCAATGGGAGAGACCTGTCACCAGACCACTGTGGTGGTCTTCAGGGTCTACCCACAACAGCCACTGCCCCTCCTTCCTTCTGAACAGAGCTCCAGTTTGGTTCAGGTTGTCACAGCAAAGTGCTCAAAAACCCAAGGGATGAACCTTGATGGATTGAAATCAGTTACATAACAGTAGCCCCATCCACCTCTGCCAGGGCCTGGTGTGTGGCCATGTGACACAGCCTGACCAATGAGATGTAGAAACAAGGAGGCCAACGGGCTTCTAGGAAATGTTTCCTTGTCAGTATAGAGATATACATAGAGAGGGCCCTTCTTCCCCAGCTCAGTGCGGCCACCACTGTCTTGTGACCATGTGGGGAGACCTGATTGATCCTCCTTGGTCCCTCAGCTGCAGGGTCCATCCTGAAGCAGCCCAGTTCCAGTGATTGTTAAACAAAACAGTAAATGTCCTTGGTGTGTAAGCTACTTTTGGTATATTCTTTTTTTGCAATCAAAAGCTTCCAAAAGATATAGGCATGCTTACCTAGTAACATGTCACAGGTGAGTTGGACAAAAAATATTGCATTTCTGATTGTCTTAGTTGGTCTTTTTTAACATCCAAGACTTGTTGAGGAAGAAGTAATTCATAGTTAAAATCCTACTGTTGTTGACACACTCCCTGAAAACTAGAACCTCCTCCCCTCCAGTGAAATGCAGGGTACTTAGAGACTCTGTAATCTACTGGTAATTAAATGGACCTTCATTCATTAGCATTCCTGTCAACAACTTGGCAGCTCGGTGGACCACGTGGTCTGGGGTGGCAGGAGTGATACGGAATAATGCACTTAAAGGTAAAGTAATACTTAGGTATACAGGTCACAGCTGAGCCCCAATAAAGACAAGATTTACATATAATATTGTAGTTGATAAGTTTTAGGACAATTCCACAGTCTCATGTCTATCCAATTCCATGAAGTCAGTTTTCATTGAATTGTAAATTTCCAGCAAGTTGCATTTTAATGTAGTTGTGCCTTTAAATTTGTATGCAAAGATTGCATAGGCTGTCAATTTGATGAACTCCTCACGCTATATTTATTGTGTGATATATATAATTGAAGCACCAAGATTCTATATTGACAAAAGCAGAAACTGTCTTGAAGTGAATATTAGAATTCTAAATTGGCGATATTTATTCCATGCCAGAAACAGTTTTCCCCCTGTGAGTTACATCTCAGTTGTAGTCATAAAAATCACTGGGTGGGGGGGAACTGTGGACATTAAAGAAGTATTTATTTAACCTGTACCTTTTCAAGAATATATCTAATAGATAAATTAAGATGAGCTATAGATATTAAATAAGAGGTGTGTACAGTAGAAACTATGATATAAGCTGTAAAATCCACTAGTAGTCTGTGGATAAAAAGCATCTCTGAGTTCATCATTCTATTACAATTTTTGCATCTGAGACTGCATAAGACTAACATTACCCAATCTACTGCCTGTATAATTCTTGCTTTAATTCAAAATCTAGAAATTCAGAAGGCATTTTTAAGTGAATGTAAAGATTTTTAAGTTCCTCTTGATCCCTATAGCCCCACGCAGCAAATACTCTGGGATAAGTGAGAGGAGGAAATAAAGAGCATAGCTTGACAGCTCAGTAGCCTAGAAAGTACCTCTCCATGCTGCAAACAAGATGCCTGTATAATAACAGCATGGCGTACTGGACTTGGGCATCAAGAACACCAGATCTGATGTCCTTTTATTAGCTGTGTGCCTGTTGGTGGATCTCTTCACCTCCCCGAACCTCAGTTTTCTCCCATCTCAAATTAAGATAATAATCCCTGAACTATTTTCCAAGCTTATTGTAAACTCCAAATTAGACAAAATAAATGAAGTGCTCCAAATAAAAGCAATTTGGAAACTACAAAGTGCTTTATAAATGTCAGATACTTATAATGAATACTTTGTCTTCCTCTTTAATCTCTCTAAAGTATATGAAACATGTCAACAGTTTTGTTTCTAACGCAATGCCACTTACAAAACCTAACTATGTAAAATTCTGTGAAATAGCCATCAGGTAACCTAGAGAAACAGCCAGGTCAGTATAATATGCCACTGCTGTGACAGCCTAAGTATTTTCTCATATGGTGCCCTTAAGTGAGGTAGGCTGGGGAGTTTTATTGTTTCAAATAACTGCTTCCTCTAATTCTGCCTGTGTCATTCTTTTCAATTGTTCTAATTTGCCCAGCAGATATTTCCTGGCCAGCTGAGTTGGGTAGCATCAGATTCCTGTAGCTTGCTTACGGTTTATTTTAGACCAAGATCCCAGGGTGTAAGACCACAGCTAGTAATTGGCTGGGCCAGAGGTTTTTAGGCTGTTTCCATTGAGATGGTAATTATATAATCACTGGTTCCAAGTGAAGGTGAGGCAGAGTGCTCAGAGGGCAGGTTACAAAGAAACCTAAGACCCCCTCAACCCTTCACCCAGGCTAAGGCTAAAAGTAAGGGGTCAGAGAGTGGGAAGGGAAGATGTGTAGGGAAACCTTTTGGAGAAAGGAGTGTGGGGTGCTATGCCCTTCATCTCAAGCCAGCGAGAGGGGCTTCCCCAGGGGCTTGGGACTGCCAGTGCCTGTAGTTAGGTGGCCTGGAGAACTGGAGCCTGATTCACTCTTGGGTACCTAAAGCTCCGTCCTATGGGAGACTGGAAGGGGCTGCACCGGGACAGGCCTGAGCTCTCAGAATCACTAGGGTAAGGGATGTGTGGGGTTTCCCTTGGGACCTATCTAAAGGGGTGCCTAAACCTGGAATAAACCCTGGGTTTTTAGCATTTTCAGGAGTCCCCAGAATGGAGGTCCCCATCAGTGAGAGACTCCAAAGGACCAGGAAAGACCCACATGAGCTGCTTTAACCATAGGCCAGCACAGCAAGCTTGAAGCCGCTCAACTCCAGGAAGGGCTCCATCTTCTTCCTTCTCCTCACTGCCAGTTTGATCCAAGCTGGGTCTTAAACAACCTCTAGTGAAGGAGGATGGATGGGGTTGGGGGGCAAGCCTAGTGCACCCCTTCAGGGAAGACCAGATAGAGACCTTAAGCCTGGGGCTGGAATCGGGGAGGAAGACTTACTTTCATGTGAAGTTTGATGCATTTGTTTGTGTCGTGCACCCAACATTATAGTTTTGAAATGAAGCTGTGGTTGAGATTTAGTTACAACAGGCCTCTGTCAGTTTTCTAAGAATGAGTAGAAAAGGCTGGGCGCGGTGGTGGCTCACGCTTGTAATCCCAACACTTTGGGAAGCCAAGGCGGGCAAATCACCTGAGGTAAGGAGTTCAAGACCAGTCTGACACAGAGAAACCCTGTCTCTACTAAAAATATAAAAATTAGCTGGGCATGGTGGCGCATGCCTGTGATGCCAGCTACTGGAAGCTGAGGCAGGAGAACTGCTCGAACCCGGTCAGTGGAGGTTGCAGTGAGCCGAGATTACACCATTGCACTCCACCCTAGGCAATAAGAGCGAAACTCCATCTTAAAAAAAGAAAAAAAGAATGAGCAGAAAAATCCAGGACTTTACCCCCAACTTTCCATCCAGGGACAGGAGAAGATAACCAGCACTGAATAAATTTTAAAATGATAGCGAGAGACCAAAATAAAGTGGCATTGTATGACATCTCACAAGTTGTGAATTCAAAACACATAGTTTTATATAAAATGGGCAAAGGTCCATTTCCACAATGGAGTCCACTGACCAGTAAATGGGACTTGTTGATATCAATCATGTTGAGTCACTGGAAAATACTTTAATCCTGAAGAAAACAAAACGTTTTGTTTTGGGTCCTAAAATTATCCGATCAACAAATAGGTATTTATTTTCTGTTATGTTTGAAATCCTCCTATCTTGAAGAATATTTACATTCCTTTAGTTCAGGTTAGTATAATTTCCCACCTGGAACGATGCCTTACACATAGTATGTGCTCAAAAATATTTTCAATTTAATTATTCTTTACAAGATGTTTAGCACCAAGGGAAGTGGCATATTTCCAATGTTGGTAACAAATATCACTTCAGCTGGAAAATCCCCATGTTTACAAAACGTGGTGCAAACCTGAATGGAGATTGCTTATGATCTCACTTGTATTTAACACTGTAAAGTGTTGCTAAATGGTTTAATAGGAGAGAAGGGAATTTAAACTAGAAACACATAAATTGAGTGTTTTTTGCCATTCAACTGTGATGACGCACGAACAAAAAACGATTGGCCACAGGGGACCTAGACTAGAATCTCCTTCTCCTGCTCACTACACCTCGGCCCCCAGTTCCTCTCCTGTGGATGGGGAAGCCCGGCTGCCTACCTCAGACTCAGAAGGGCCGAATACGGGCATACTCTGCAAACTCTGAAGTGCTCTACAAATGCAAGGGCTTAATAACAGCCAACGTTTTAATATTCGTTGATTGCCATGTGCATAGCGCTTTATATCTATTTTCTCATGCAATCTTATTAATATTTCCTGCCACTTGACACTGGAGGAAACAGAGGCTCAGCCAGTGGTTCCAAGTTATACAGAGCCTTAACCTGAGCCAGTAAATCCTTACTTTTAACCGCAAGCATTAAGCTTCCGTCCTGCCTGTTGTTATTTTACAGAGGCTCTGGGAGCCGGCAGGGGAGCAACAGATGTGGTTCGACAAATTGCTAAGAGTGAACAACTGCCCACGACGCCTGCTCTGCCCTGACTTCCCGGCCTCCAGCTCGCGCCGGGCTCCTCCCACCCCATCCGGCCGACGCCACGCCTCGGCGCTTCTACGCCTGCGTTGGCGGGACCCGCGCAGGCCCAGAGGCTGAGCGGCGCCCTGGGGCCAGCCCCACCCGCTCCAACGCTGCTGCCTTGGCCGCTGCGTCTGGAGAGCCGGAGGACGAGCTGAACCTCGCAGCCGCTGCTAACTCCAGCGTTCATCACAGGTGCTTTGGGTCAGGACGAAAGCCTCCTTACCTGCGCCCTCGCCAAGCTCATTCCCCGGCCCGCTCCGCCCGCCCAGCAGTGGCCTGGCCCTGCAGTCTGGCGACCGGGGTGGCGGCGGGAGGTAGTTTGTGTACGGTTACCATGGAGACGCTGGCGGCCGGGCGTGGTGGGAGGGCGGCCGGGCGGGGTGAGGATGCTGCTGTTCTCTGCCCTGGCCGGGACCGTGGAGGAGCAGGCAGTGTGCTGTGGGGTAGGGGAGCTGCTGCCTGCGCGGGAGGTGAGGTGTCTGTCCTCCGCGGCTCCTCGAATGGGGGAGAGAGGCTCAGTGCTCTGTGCATGCTGTCAGGGGTCCGGAGCGATTGTCTTTATTTCTGTACACTCGCACTTAGCCAAGTGCGTGGTGCTTCACAGAAAGCCCGGTAATACTTTTTAAATGAGAGTGGTAGGCTAAAGGGCTTTGTCTAGGTAGGGGTGACTGGGCCAGAGTCATACAGTTTATATCTGGGCACTTCCAGGTAACAGATAGGGCCTCGAATAAAAGTGTATGTGTAACAATCTTTAACATACGTTAAAATCGTATTTAAATTATTGTGTATTCATAATGCCTTTTGGGATCCATTCCCACAAGTAACGCAACAGGTCTTACGTCCCACCCTGATTTATAATTATTATATTTTAACTTGGTTGAAAAGCAAGCACCATTTATTATTTGTATCCTGGTTTCTTAATCTATGAGATTCTGGTTGTTAATGTTGATTTGGCATAGCTGATATTCAATAAAATGCCTAATAAAAATTCTCTGTTTTCATAAAGGCAAGCACCGCCACCCACCGTTTAAATTTTAGAACTTAAGTATAGAAACACTGAACAAATGTCATTTTCTTTTTGTAATTTCTATTTTTAAATGCTCATGAAAATGATTTTTGCTGTATCCTTTCATCATGTAGCACTTAGGCAGTAATTGTGAACATCTGTTAACATTGTTAACATTTCTAAGGGCCACATTAAAAAATGTTAACATTTTTAAAGCACCTTTACATGTATTATTTAATTCTCCAAACAATCCTGTGAGGCAATTATTATTACTATCCACCTTTTATAGTTGAGGAAACTGAGGCTTAGAGATGTTAGAGGCGTTGCCCAAGGTCATGGCTGTGAATTGTCAGCATTTAAACCCTTACTCCAGCATCTAAGCACTTAACCACTGCCTCTTTGGATGCTCTTATTAATAGAGAAATGATTCTGAGTCATGGAAGGGTCCTGAGTGTTCGATTTGCAAGGAATACTGAAGCTGGACTGCCTGTCCCCCATTGTAGGCATCCTGGTAGCGCATGTTACATTTAGCAAGAAGGCTCTGGTTCCAGTGGCTATTAGCAGCAACAGTAAAGACAGCTCTTTATAATTAGTTATAAACTTCTATAAATTATGACTCTGAAATTTCCCACAGACCAATGAGAAATACCTTGTTGAAAAAAAAAAGTTCTTCACTTTCAAATTTCCTACTGCCGGTGGTGTTCACCCTCTAGAGGTCCAGTGGATACCACAGGCTCAGGATGGTGTGATGCAAGACAGAACTCAACCTCTTTCTTCTTTCCCTTAAAGTCTGCTTCTCCTCCTGTTTCTTTTAGAAGGTCTCCTTACCCTCTGGCTCCCCTCGGTTTGCATACCCAGTGTTGTTTCTGGCCTCTTCCTGGCATCACAGATACCAAATCCTGTTAATTCTGTTCTCAGTGCACCTCCCTTGTTCTCATCTCTCCTCTGACCTCGGCCTCACCTTGACTCCTGTATCTCAGGCTTTCCATACTTCACTCATTGATCACAATATTGAGTCCTACTCTGTGCCAGGCAACTTGAAATAAAGGCAAGACAGAAAGGAGGCTAAATTTGAACTCATCTGACCACATGACATCAAGAATCAGATTTGAAATAAGATCCAGATTTCATAATTCACTGTAACAGAAATCTCCAATTAGAGAAATTATTCAGCCTTCGTCTGGAAGTTTCTTAGCTCAAGTCTATTTTTAAAAATGGAGTCAAGTGATTATGTAAGTGTTGACCTTCAGCTGTGCCTCACGTGGAGGGTTGGGATGGAGAGTCTTGGTACAATACCACATGCACAGGCAATTCTAACACAGAGGGAGGGTAAAGTGGCAGAGACCAGCCAGGGGCCCCATGGAGGCTGGCAGGGCGGGAGAGGCATGTCCAGGAAAGCTTCCTTGAGGAAGCGACCTTTGAGAGTTAGCTGGGTGATTACGTAAAAACTGTCTGATTTTACTACTTCTGATTTTTGCCTTCCTTTCCTTCCTGCCCATCTCTACCTGATCAAAACAGTGTATTTGATTTGTTCATCAACTCTTAATTTCTCGGCTTGCCATTTAATTTAGTTAGTTCAACTGCAATCTCCATTTTCAGAGATTGTCCTCTTGTCCACACACACGCTGTATGCCTTGGCGCTTTGCATTGGCTCACTTACTGACTTTGCTGGAACTTCCTTTTCTACTCCAGCTCAAGTGCCAGCCACTGCCACTTGCCCAAATTCAGCCCTTTTTTCACAACTCAGCTCAAGCATCACCTCTTCGAGGAAGTCTACCTGATGCCTTCCCCCAATCAGAAGTCCCTTCTTCCTTTGTGATCACATAATTTGTCTCTATGTTTTATTCCTGCCATCAGTTTCTTCCTTGTATTTAAATCATTTGAGTATAAGCAGGGTAAATACTCAGCTGCTACACACCAAGAAGGCTGTTCCTGTTGGGAAAATATTGGGGTCTCTATGTGAGTGGGTTAATAGTTGTAGTCCCAATACCTCCAAGTGCCTCACCTCCTACCACCCCATGTAGTGGGTAAGAGTTCGAATATTACCTGTGGGCATATGTCATAGCTCTTTTTTTGCATTGCTTAAGACCCTGTCCAGACCAGGCATGGTGGCTCACACCTGTAATCCCAGCAGTTTGAGAAGCCAAGGAGGATAGCTTGAGCCCAGGAGTTTGAGACCAGCCTGGACAACATAGTGAGATCTTATCTCGAGTTCTTATTATTATTTTATTTTATTTTATTTAGAGACAGAGTCTCTCTCTGTCGCCAGGCTGGAGTGCAGTGGCGCAATTCCGGCTCACCGCAACTTCCGTTATCCAGTTTCAAGCAATTCTCCTGCCTCAGCCTCCTGAGTAGCTGGGACTACAGGCACGCACTGCCACACCCGGCTAATTTTTTGTGCTTTTAGTAGAGATGGGGTTTCAACCATGTTGGCCAGGATGGTCTCGATCTCTTGACCTTGTGATCTGCCCACCTTGGCCTCCCAAAATGCTGGGATTGCAGGCATCAGCCACTGCGCCCAGCCTATTATTTTTTAAAAGACTCTATCCACCTTGCAAAATTGTTGTTGGGTTAATTGAGATAATGCAGTCAAGAGCACTTAGCACAGTACTTGGTGTTAAAGTAAATGTTTATCTCACATTAGTGGTTCTTCTTGCTTGAGAGTGAAGATAATTTTTTATTCTTCTTTGGGTTCCCAGAGATCTAAGCAGAGGGCTTTGCGTATAGGCAACAGTTTATCAGTACAACTCGCTGAATGGATTTGCTCTACTTGGCAGGAAAATTTTGTAAAGTTAAAACTTCTGTAGTACTATTGTGTTATGGTTCTGGTATACTTAACTATAAGTAGATAAGCATTCAGGTCCTGAGTGATTAATTTTTCAAGTTGGCAAAAGCCATCTGTAATAATTTGTAATTTAACAAATACCAATTAAAAAAATTTCCCCCAAAGCTGCACTTCTAACTCTTCTAAGTTAGTTCACATGTATTATTAAAGATTTCCATGATTGATTTAGTTAATATTAATATATGATTATAACATATTATGCAGATTTTATATTATTGTACAAGTTTCTCACAATATAATTGTTAAATTGAGATTTGGTGGAAAAAGAGAAGAAGAAGGATAGAGAAAGTTGTGTTAGACTTTTTGGTAAAAATTGATAGACAGAAATATTTTTAACCTAGTATCTACATTGTTTCTACCAGTGTAGTATTTGGTCAGGCTAAATTCCTGTATGCCCCCACATAATTCACAGGATTCTTAGAATTTGACCTGAGTAAATGCTCATCACTGTCTGAAAGAGTATAGTTTTAAATACAAACTAAAAGATAGCCAGAGAGAACCTTAGGTCAGGAATGAGAGTCCATTATTACTCCCCAAAGAACTTTCTCTAGTCTTTATTAGACTTGCCAGATTACTTTTGGACATTGTTAGACTTATTAGTGCCACGTGAGGCTAAAGGGGTGGCAAACCTGATTTAGGCTCTGGAAGAAGCCTGTTTATTGTACAGAACCCTCTTCTCACTTAGTGGCCTCATTTCTGACTGCACTAGGTCTTTTAGAAACAAACCAACAAACTTGTCATGGCCATTGAATTTAGATGTTATGGGACTGAATTTGTATTAGGCTTCCAAAAATAATATATATGCAGCTATAAAATATTTTGTGTATACTTTAAATAATTATTGAATATTTCAAAGTGAAAGCCAATTATTTCAAAAGTATTAGAAATAAAATGTACTAGGCCTGCCATCATTTTTGATAGTTATATTAATGAATGTAATTATAGAGACCTTGCTTAAATTCAAAATCCTATATAAAAAATTCATAAAATAGTATTGCTTATCAAGTAATTTTTTACTGTTTTAGCTCAACACCTGGCATTTCCCTATGAGAAGTATGCCATATTGTTTATAGTTTTCAGCAGAAACTCTTGGGGTGGGGCCTGTGTAGAACTAAACAAATGTTCTTGTTGTCTGTTGTTATGTAGCAATGTTTAGAATCATAATATAGTAAATCTTTTTGTCTAAGGGATCACCTGTTGATTCTACTTATAGAAATGGACTCTTTTTACTTTCCTGGGGCATATGTCACAAGGCGGTTTTCTCTTTTGCAGAAGTTATTCTAAAATTGGGCAGCTGAAATAGGTGAAAAATTCATAGAACTCTGTCTCTCTAGAGATATCTTATGGGGTTCAAGTTTTTTTTAAGAAATAAACACCTAATGCTGTGTACTCATTAGGATTACATTTTAAAAATCTGTATTATTTTAAAGTTTAGATTTGTCTCCATGGGACACATCAACATTTGAGAAGGATCTGCATTCTCATGGCCCTTGTAATAACTTTCACTCTTTCAGAAAGGGGTGTTGGGAAAGGATCCGCTGGTATTGATATTTGGTATTTATTTACTTAGGTCACTACATCAAATTATAGGTGAGCTGAATCAATTCATTTAATTACATCATGGACAAACGTGGGCTGAATCATTCTCTTAGGTTTGTTGCAAAATGAAGTGTACTTTGGAAATACAACATTTCTGTCTAAAATTTAACCTTAGTGTGGAGGGTAGTGGGGAAGAAAAAAAAAAACTGTAAACGTTTTAACAGAACCCTTGGTGTTTTTTGTAGGCCGAAGACCATGAGATGATTCTCTCTTCCTATTCTGTCTTCTCTCATGACTAATTGTTCTCTCTGGGGTTAGCTTTCATCCTGGGTTTCTTCCCTGCACATCTTTTTCCTCAGTTGTATATTTTTGAGGAAATTCTCCTCTTTGCACTTTTGAGAGCTCTTCTCAGATTCTAACCTCCTAACTGCTTGGTGGATTTTTAATTAAAAATTGATTCAGATTTTTTAAAGCTTAACATAGCAGAGTGGTTTCATATATGGATGGGTTTAAGCATTGCTTTATAAAGTACTTGATAAAAATAATTGATGGGTTTTTGTACCATACATTTGCAGGGTGTGGTATCTATCTGAAGAATATTTTGCTTTCAAAGGAGAGATGTTGTCTCCAAATGATAAAAAGTTAGGAAAACTGGATCCATTTTATCGACCTTCAGTGTCTAAGCAGAAGACCAGTGCAGAAATCATAAGTGAAGCACGAAATGCATTAAGAACAGTTAGAACCCACAGACCATTTACACCGCAGGAAGACCAAAGAAAACTGTTCGGACCTGCATCTTCACAAACATCAGAAAATAGACCTCCTTCCTCCTTCAGGTATATGGCATTTCACTTTCACGCGCACTCGATATTCAGCACCAGGTTACACTTTACCTTAATTCTACTTATGGATAGTTTTTAAAAATAGACTTATATTTTAGAGCAGTGTCAGGTTCCCAATAAAACTGAGTGGAAGGTACAGAGATTTCCCATGTACCCCCTCCTTTGACACATGCACAGCAACTCATTATCACCATCCCCCACCAGAGTGGTACATTGGTTACAATTAATAAACATATTTTGACACGCCATTATCACTCCGAGGCTGTAGTTCACATTAGGGTTCACTCTTGATGTTGTACATTTAATGTGTTTGGACAAATTTCTAATAACATGTACCCACTATGAGAGTAGTTTCACTGCCTTACAGATTCTTTGGTCTGCTTATTTTTCACTTCCTTCCCCCATCTCCTGGTAATCACTGATCTTTTTACTGTCTCCATAGTTTTGCCTTTGCCACAATGTCATATAGTTGGAATATATGGTATGTCACCTTTTCAGATTGGCTTCTTTAACTTAGTAGTATGCATTTAAGTTTCCTCTGTGGTTTCTCATGGCTTGAATAGCTCATTTCATTTTAGTGTTGAATAATATTCCATTGTCTGGATGTATCACAGTTTATTTATCTTTTCACCTACTGAAGGACGTCTTATTTGCTTCCAAGTTTTGGCAATTAGAAATAAAGCTGCCATAAACATCCATGTGTAAGTTTTTGTGTGGACGTAAGTTTTCAACTCCTTTGGGTAAATGCCAAGGAGCATGATTGCTGGATCATATGGGAAGATGGTGCTTAGCTTTGGCAGTAAGAAACTGCCAAAGTGTCTTCCAAAATGACTGTATCATTTTGCATTCCCACCAGCAATGAATGAGAGTTCCTGTTCCTCACATCCTTGCCAGCATTGGCATTGGCAGTGTTCTAGATTTTGGCCATTCAAATTGGTGTATAGTGGTATCTCATTGCTTTAATTTACTTTCCCTCGTGACATATGATGTGGAGTGTCTTTTTATACATTTATTTGCCTTATGTATGTCTTCTTTGGTCACGTGTCTGTTAAGGTCTGTGGCCCATTTTTTAAATGGGTTGTTTATGTTCATCTTGAATTCTAAGAATTATTTCTGTATTTTAGATAAAAATTCGCTATATGTGTTTTGAAAATATTTTCTCCTGCTCTGTGGCTTTTCTTACTATCTTGATGGTGTCTTTTGCAGAGCAGAAGATTTTAATTTTACTGAAGTCAAGCTTATCAATTTTTTGTTTCATGGATCATGCGTTTGGTGCTCTATATTAAAAGTCATCTCAGTGCCCAAAGTTGTCTAGACTTTGTCCTATGTTATATTTTAGGAATTTTATAGTTTTGTGTTTTACATTTATGTCTGTGATCCGTTTTGAGTTAATTTTGGTGAAGGGTGTTAGGTTTGTTTGTTTTTGCATGTAGACGTCCAGTTATCCCAGCACTATTTCTTTTTTAAGGAATATGAGCCAAAGTTTTACTTGTTAATATCTTGCATTTGAAGTACTCTTTGATAACATCCTTAGCTTGAGATTCTTTTCCATAGTCCTACCACACAACTACAACCAACCATTATATGGAGTTTCCCTCTCTGTCAGTTTTACAGAGACCTACCCATTACCCTAGTTTATTGTCATCAACCTTCATTAGATTGATTTGGTGTTCAGCTCAAAGGGCCTCCATCAACTTGAAATATACAGTCTTACCACAGTTAGAGGAAAGCCACAAAGATGGGCTTGGCTCTTGTCGGAGGCTTTGACAGCTTCACACATTCCATGTGCTCAGCTGTCCTGGGTGAGGGTGGTTTTCACCTCTTTTAAAGCAGGTGCTTTAAAACATATGCTGCACCTCCTCAGCAGTGCCTTCCTCAGCCATGGCAATGGGTTATGCCTTCCTCAGCCATGGCAATGGGTTATGAGTGAAGGTGAATCTTGGAATGCATTGAGCCTCCAACTCCGTGCAACTTGGAGGTGGCAGGGACAGAGTCCAGCACCAGTTTTTGAAAAGACTATGTTTTCTCCATTGTATTGCCTTTGCTTCTTTGTCAAAGATCAGTTGACTGTATTTATGTCAGTCTATTTCTGGACTCTCAGTATTCTGTTCCATTGATCCAGTTTTCTCTTCTTTCACCAGTACTATACTGTCTTTATTATTATGGTTTTAATATGTCTTAAAGTCAGGGAGTGTTTGTCCTTTGAATTTGTTCTTCTCCTTCAACACCGTGTTGGCTATTCTGGGTCTTTTGTCTCTCTCTAGAAACTTTAGAATCAGTTTGTCAATATCCACAAAATGACTTGCCAGGATTTTGATTGAGATTGCATTGAATCTGTAGATCAGGTTGGGAATAATTGACATTGACAATGTTGAGTCTTCCTAGCCATGAAAATGGAAGCTCTCTCCATTTATTTATTTATTTTTATTTCTTTCACTGAGTTTTGTAGCTTTCCTCATCTAGATTTTATCCATATCTTGTTACATTTATGACTGAGTGCTTAATTTTTAGAGTGCTAACATAAACAGTAATATGTTTTCATTTCAGTTTCCAACCTTGTATCCTGCAACCCTGCTGTAATCACTTATTAGTTCTAGGAGCTTTTTGTCAGTTCTTTAAGATTTTCTACATAGATAATCCTATTATCTGCAAACAAACAACTTTATTTCTTCCTTCCCAATCTGTATGCTTTTAATTTCTTTTTCTTGTCTTATTGCATTAACTAGGATGTCCTGTCTGATACTGAAAAGTAGTAGTAAGAGGGGACGTCCTTGCCTTCTTCCTCATCTTAGTGGGAAAACTCTTTCTTACTATAAAGTATGATGTTAAACTGTAGGTTTCTTGTAGATACTCTTAGAAGTTTTTTCCTATTCGTAGTTTGCTAAGAATTTTTTTTTGTGTGTGAATGGGTGTTGGATTTTGCCAAATGCTTTTTCTGTATTTGTTGATATGATTATGTGACTTACCTTCTTTAGCCTGTGTTATGATAGATTACACTGATTGATTTTCAAGGTAGTTGTTTTTTTAAGTTTGACTTTTGTTCAAGATTCCTGAAGGTAATTCCAAATGTTGGTTCAGGAAGTTACTTTGGAATGAAATGGTTACTAGCGGTTGTCCCATACCAGCTTTATAAAGTAAGATGAACAAAACTTTTAAAAAAATTCTTTGTATACACTTCTTCTTTTCATTATTCAGTATTTTTTAATCTTCCGATACGCAGTCAAAAGACTTGTTAATAAATTGTTTTAAGTATGATAACATTAAATTTTTTTCCCTCAAGGCTGCATTGCATCCTTTGACTTGTTTTTTTAGGTAGAGTTTACTAATAGATACTATAAATAAAGAAATAATTCTTCACAAACTAACACTCTGAACCATCTCTTATGCTAGCCTCCATGCATCCAGTTTTGAGTCATCTGATTCCAGGCCTATCTCTGGCGCACGTCTTAGTCCACTAGAGCTGGTGAGTACTTTATATAACCACCAGTACTTTATATTATGTTGTGAAATGAAATTAGCCAAAAATACTTGGAATCAGCATTTATATATGCCGTGAAAATTATCATGTACACCTAAATATGCTAATTTAATATGAAAGCAGGTTCTTTTATGTTGTTCAAATGTAATGGGTAATATCTAATGAAATACTTCTATAATTTATCTATAGTTTGATAATAAAGAAGAAATCTAAAAATATATAATAACTTGGTAAGCAATGTTGCACAATATTTTTGTTTTCTTATACATATTTTCTTATCAGTTATATATACAAAAATTATATGTATAATTTATATATAAAAATCATATAATACATATTTAAATATAGTCTCTCTATATATACACATTTACATATTACTATATATGCTCAAAGATTTGTTACTAGAAAACTAACAAAAATCCCTATTGATCTCCTGTCCCCTTATTCTTCATGGTTCCCTCCTCAGTGGCTTTCACTTTAAACTCTTTTGACACATCCTTTTAGGATTTATATCCAGATTTCCCAATGCCACACGGTCTTGCTGCTTTCTGACTTATGAGTGTGAGGAATTATCTAATGACTTCTCCCTAAGGAAAATGAAGATTTAGTTTCTGCCTGTCCTTTTGCCTTTTATCATAACGCGTTCACCTTTTCTATCCCCACCATTACGCCCATATACATACAACTTTGGCTAGATCTGTTTCCTCTGACTATGATTACATAAACCCTCTTTATGGCTGAGCCTTGAATTAATGATAAATTTTCCTTTCCTGCACCACTTTTTATTTCCCTGGCAATAATAACTCCCTTACTTTTTAAGTCTTGTATTATTAGTATTTCAACCCCAAACTCATCCCCAGTGGTCTAAATCTCCGTTTGTATTCAGGCACATGAGGGATTCTGTGGATTTATGTCCTTGGAGAACTCTCCACACGTCCTGCCCAAACACTTTCCCTGAGCACCTGGTCCACTACTCTCCTTCGGTGACCCTCGCCATCATCCTGGGGACGTCGCTTCTCCTTCTTGTGCTGGCTTTTTCCTGGTTGCTGTGTCTCAAGTCCTCTTTCTTTATATATTGTGGATTTCATAGAGCATTCCCTCCCATAGTTTCTTGAGAAAGGATACGTGGAAAGTAAATTGAGACCTTGATTCCTGTTTTCTCCTCTCTGGAAGTTTGTAGGATGTTTCTCTTTGTTTCTAGTGTTCTGAAATTTCATGTAATGGTTCTCATGTGAGTCTATTTTCAATCAGTCATGCTGGGCACTGGAAGGGCCTTTTCAATGTGGAACCTCTTGCCTTTCAGTAAACATGGCTATTAATTGGATATTTAATATCATCATTGTGTCTTACCCACTTCTTTGTTCTGTTTGCTCTTTCTAGAGTTTACTATTCAGATGTAGGACTTCCTGGCTGAGTGTGGTGGCTCACGCCTATCCCAGTGCTTTGACAGACCCAGGCAGGCAATCACCTTGAGTCAGGAGTTCGAGACCAGCCTCACCAACATGGTGAAACCCTGTCTCAACTAAAAATACAAAATTAGCTGGGCATGGTGGTGCATGCCTGTAATCCCAGTCACTTGGGAGGCTGAGACAGGAGAATTGCTTGAACTTGGGAGGCAGAGGTTGCAGTGAGCCGAGATTGTGCCATTGCACTCCAGCCTCGGCAACAAGAGTGAAACTCTTTCTCAAAACTATATATATGTAGGACTTTATGGACTGACACTTAAGTTTTCCTATTTTATCCTTTCTGTTTCACATCTTTTTGTGGAAGAGACTGTATTCTGATCCCTTTATTGAATGATTTTCATTTCTGCTTTCATGTTTTTAATTTTCAAAAGCTTTATTCCCCTCTAAATTATCTCTTTATGTAGTAGTCTGTTCTTATTTCATGATTGCAGCATCTTATCTGAGTATATTAGTGGTAGTTTTGATTTTTTAAATTAAGTTTTCTTCTCCCTTTAGAGTCTCTGTTGCATTTTTATGTTTGTTTTTGTCTCTGCTTTTTATGCTAGAGGCTTCCTCTGATGCCTCTTGCTATTCGTTTGCCTGCTCTTAAGAGTAGGGGTGTGTGGATGGGGCTGGTCAACCTATAGGTGGTATCTACCCACACCTATGCTTAGGAGGCTCTGGCTGGACTGTGTTGTTGGTGACACCCCAATGGCAGTATCTTCAGGATTTTTCTTACTGGCTAGTCGTATTCTCTGTAAAGAAGTATCTTCCATGCTTTTTCCTGGATGTTAAAGTCTGGTTGCTAGCTTCCAGGTATAGGAAGAAGACAAGACTGCCCAGTATTTAGGATACAAATATTCAATTAATAGCCATGTTTATAATAAGTACTCTGACACTCAACAATAAGGGTACTTATTGTGATAGTACCCTTACTTATTGAGCTCAGTTAAAGAAGACCCTGTTTTACCTTCTTTAGAGAATAAACCTATCTTCTTCTGGGTTCATTAGCCTGACTGCATGGAGCTGGGAAGGATGGAATTACACAGAATTTCAGCCAGTCCTCCTTATTTTATCCACTCCTCCCCTTCTACCCCTTCTACCAGAAGTACTTGGTGATACCAGTTCCCTAGACTTTTATGAGATTGGTATGTTAGTCAAGCGCTTCACAGTTTCTAGTACTGTGTGCGTGTGTGTGTGTGTGCACACGTGCTTGTATGTATGTTTGTTTTGGATGAACTATTTGAAAGTAACTTGCAGACATTTTGATACTTCATCCACAAAAGTTTAAGTGTGCATCTCATATGAACAAGGACAGTCTCCTATAAACACAATACCATCATCACAGCTCAGAAAATTAACATTACTCTGTAATATTTAATGTGTAGTCTATGTCCAAATGACCCCTATTGCCTCAAAATGTATCTTTTATTTTTCAATGCCTTATATTTATCTTGTATTTATCAGAATGCCTCTGTGAGGAAGATTATACTTGTTCATATATGACAGATGACAAAAATAAGATCCCAAGATAATAAGCATGGACCAATATTACACGAAATAATTTGCCAGCTATTGTTGACACATGGCTTCTTAATGTCTACAACCTTGGGAAACACTTGGGTTTGGAGCCAGTTAAAGCATAAGGACCCAGTTCGGCACCTTGGTGGCTATACCTTATTGTAGAGTTGCTCTTTATTCTATGATTCTGTGGTTTGACTCCTATAAATTGCTTTTCATGTTAGTGTAGATTTTTGGGGACTCACTCAATTTGGATCTACCCTTCCTTTAAAAAAAAAAATCTCAATTTCTAGAGATAATCCGGTCTTTGTCAAACTGGTACAGTTCTTGGACTTCAGGATTAGCTGCTGGGCTAAGACAAGATAGGCATTTGTCTGTTTAGGGTCATTGACTTAAATTTCCTTACCTCAAAATGGTTGGGTGCTATGTTCAAAGTAAAAGTAGACAGCTAGGTGCAGAGGCCTACACCTGTAATCCCAGCACTTTGGGAGGCTGAAGTGGGCGGATCATGTGAGGTCATGAGTTCGAGACAAGCCCAGCCAACATGGTGAAACCCTGTCTCTATTAAAAATATAAAAATCACCTGGGTGTGGTGGCACATGCCTGTAATCCCAGATACTCTGGAGTCTGAGGCAGGAGAATTACTTTAACCCAGCAGGCAAAGATTGCAGTGAGCTAAGATTTTGCCACTGTACTCCAGCCTGGGCAATAGAGTGACTCCATCTCAAATAAAAACAAAAAAAACAAAGTAAAAGTAGTCCAAGAAGTTCTCATTTTAAGTAAAATGACTGCTTTAGTTTGAGGTGGTGGTTGTTATTATAGTGGATTATGTGAGGGCCTTAAGTACATTTGATTTTAAATAGCAATTAAAATTTGGAGTCCCCAGTCTAAAAATTCTGAAAATGGCCCTGTGCTACCTGACCTTCCGCATTTTTTCTTCTTTATCAGTGCAGTTTCTTAAGTACACTTTGACTCTGGTAACCACTAAATTGACAAAGGGTGGAGATAGGGAAAGGGAGAGGGCATGGAGAGAAGGAGGTAACTAGAGAAAGAGGGAAAGAGAGTGGTGGAGGAGTGTCTCACAGTTAAGGGACACATTTGCTGAAAGAATTTGTGAAGACCTAACCGTTGAATCTCTGTGCTTTTTGGATCTAGGGCACTTTCTCAGAGCAGTTTCCCTATTAATAATTCCTCAATCAGCAGTCAGTCAGGGAACAGGGACTCAGACAACAGATTTTTAGCTCCTATATTGAGCATATTAGCTCAACTCTGCTTTTGTACAGTTACCCTCTCTCTCTTTCTCCCCATTCCATCTGGCCTGTGCTCCTGACACACCCTCCAGTGGGCAATGGGCTGGAAGAGTCATGGCCAGCCTGATGGATACCTTAAATGTTGTATGAACTGGGTCTTCTTTCACTGGGTTGTCCTATGGAAATAGACTGTGTCTTCAATGGACTCGAACAAGTCCATTAGCCAGAACAGATCTTAAAATCTGACTGTGTCCCTGTCCTTGGTTATACTCAAGTCATGGGTTAGTGTTTTGAAACAAAATGTGAGGTAGCTAAGGTTCTCAAGTGAAAACAGTTTTTTTTTTTTTTTTTGAGACAGAGTCTCCTGCTGTCACTCAGGCTGGAGTGCAGTGGTAGAACCTCTGCCACCCAGGTTCAAGCGATTCTCCTTCCTCAGCCTCCCAAGCAGCTGGAACTACAGGCGTGCACCACCATACCTGGCTAATTTATGTATTTTTAATAGGGGTGGGGTTTCACCATGTTGGCCAGGCTGTTGAGGTCCTGACCTCAGGTGATCTGCTCACCTTTCCCAAAGTGCTAGGATTACAGGTGTGAGCCAGTGTGCCCAACCCTTAAGTGGAAATTTAAACTTATTTGTGGCATTCTCTGATTTCTAAAATTATTGGAATTTTATAAGAGAAACATGTTTGCTGTTTTTTCTCATAAAAGTCATTTTACTCCACAGAGTGAAAGAACATTTTGTAGAATTTGGCATAAAAGAAACTGCTGAGTCATTTAGTTGTTTTCTCTTAAAGAATTAAAAATGCTTTACATGTGTCACTTTATATTCTAAGTAGTCCCACGAGATGCATGTTTAAATAGGACACATAATTTATTAAAGGTCAGTGGTAAAATGGAACTAAATTTTTATTATACAAACAATTACTGATTTTGCACTAAGAAAATAATGCCTTTTATTGAGGAGCATTTGTGGGACTTTTATTTTGCCCTCCAGAGAAAATTCAGTGACTCTCTTGTGGGGAAATTTGCTTTTCAAACCATATTTTTCCTTTTTATAAAATCTTTTGGCTGGTTGTAGTAGCTCATGCCTGTAATTCCAGCACTTTGGGAGGTCAAGGTGGGAGCTCTCTTGAGCTCAGGAGTTTGAAACCAGCCTGGGCCGCAGAGGGAGACCCTGTCTCTACAAAAAATAAAAAATTAACTGGATGTGGTGGAACATGCCTGTACTCCCAGTTACTCAGGAGGCTGAGGCTGGAGGATCGCATGAGATTGAGAAGTCAAGGCTGAATGAGCCATGATCACACCACTGCACTCCAGCCTGGGCGACAGAATGAGATCCTGTCTTAAAGAAAAAAAAAAAAAAGATCTTTCATTCAGTACAGTTTGGGTGTCTGTAGAAGGAGCCGTTTATTTTGTCTGCATGATTGTTGTTTGACAGATTTCTTGATCTTTGTTTCAGTTTCAGCATACCGGCAGAATACAGACATTTTGAGTTAAGAAAACCATACATCTTTAAAACTGAGATTACCCTCTCTATTTCACTTTTCATAATTGCACAGAAAACACCTATTTTTCTGTATTACACTCTTAGTTCTTCTGTTCCTATTAGCTTCATGGCCTAAGTAACATTCTTATGAATATTTTGCAGCAAAGTAGGGAGGCTAAAAAGGAAAATGACTATTTGTTGAACAAATATAGTGCAATTTATGCAGACAAACAAGTGTCACCTCCTTCAGAACAGATCCCTCAGAATCCAATATCTTAATTCTAGCAAACCTGTGTCAGAGGCTAGGGCCTTGACTTTTGAGAAGAATTAAAAGTAACTTGGAACCAAACTTGATAAATAAGGGGTGAGCAACTTACATGGGGAAGGAAACTGGCATTTCTTGAGCTTCCATAATGGGAATTGTGTTTATGTCAATGGCCCTGTAAGAAGGGACCACTGTCTCTGTGTTATAGCTGAGCAGGTTCAGAGAAGTAAATGGCCTGCACAAGTGCACAGAACTAGTGAGTGGATCCTTTTCCAGGTCTCCGAAAGTGATTTATGCTTTCTTCCATATTATGATTATTTCATTTACTCTTCTTTTTTTTCTGTGTTAGAAAAATGTGTCTTTAATATCACATAATAGTTTCTTTGGTCTGGTTTGTAAACTGCTCCTAAATATAAATGAACAAGTGGAAATAAACATTTTGAAGAATGTCATCATTATTGAAATGAACTACTTGGAAGGAACACCCTAATATAGATGTCTATGTTCTATTCATGTATGTGAGAAAACAAGTGTTTGAGATTATGCGTCATAAGCGTTAAATGACTTCACCCAATTTTCCAAATTATATGACTTGAATTTCACACTGGATGCTTCAAAAATTTGTTGATTAACTTATTGGATAGTGAGTCACTCATTCGCATATTATGGAAGTGACTTTAGGAATGTTAGCTTGATTATTTTGGGTTAGAGCTAAAAGCACTTGCTGCCATAAGGTTATTCTTTCATAGACAAGTAAGTGTGCTGACTCCGGAGACAGGAAGGATAAGACTACCAGGCAACACTGAATCTCGGGGCTTAGCCACCCTATGAGGGTCTGGCCCCGGGTCACAGGCCACTCAGGTCAGAGAGAGTTCTGGGTGGCACAGAACTTGGTGCAGGTGTTTTTTTTGTTTGTTTTTTTGTTTTGTTTTGTTTTTGAGACAGAGTTTTGCTCTTGTTACCCAGGCTGGAGTGCAATGGCGAGATCTCGGCTCACCGCCATCTCCGCCTCCTGGGTTCAGGCAATTCTCCTGCCTCAGCCTCCTGAGTAGCTGGGATTACAGGCACGCGCCACCATGCCCAGCTAATTTTTTGTATTTTTTTAGTAGAGATGGGGTTTCACCATGTTGACCAGGATGGTCTCTTTCTGTTGACCTTGTGATCCACCCGCCTCGGCCTCCCAAAGTGCTGGGATTACAGGCTTGAGCCACTGTGTCCGGCCAGTGCAGGTATTTTTTAAAAAAATCTTTAAGGAACTAGAATTTTGTTAGTAATGTTCCTTTAATGAGGATATTAGCATCAACACTTAAGAAGGGGAAGAAATAGGGAGTATCAGCATAAAATTCCTGAGATTTAAAATGTAGAACACTTTCATAAGTCCAAGACAACTTCTTGTTTTTCTGTTTTATGGCTTTTTCACCTAAATTCTTAAAAAATTTTGATATCATTAAAAAATATATTTGTGGCATCCAAAATATGTAAATGTAGCACTTATATTCCACGTAATTCTTGGTACATATAGGTACCCAGTAAGTGTTTTCTGAACTGAATTGAACTCAGAATGTTGCAAAGCATGTTGAATGTGCTATTCGTTATTTTATAGTCTTTTATATAGATAATATCTGTTTGCTAGCATGGGTAAGCTGTTTTACTCAGGTATGCTAACAGTACAACAGAGTAGTTAATACAATATGATTGAAAAAAACAGTTAAAAAGTGCTTTATATGTGTGTATGTTACATTATGCAAGATGGGCCAGTGAGATGACAGAATCAGGAAGCCAAGATGAGGCCAGGCAGATAAGATAGCCCTTGTGCTCTTCTGGACGGGTTGGGGCTGGCTCTGAGGTAAGTGTTCTTTGAGACACAGAAAGTCATTCCAATTATTTCAAAAATCTCTTTCCAGAAACCGAAAGTTCCAGCATCTCCCGCCACAGAGGAGGATTCCTGCTTTTCCTTTCCTAAGCCCCCAGTGGATGCTGCGAAGATTAGAAGAATAAGCAGTGCCAGGGCTCGCTTATTTAGGGCTGCCTCCCAGGGGGCCCTTCTGCTGGACAGATCCCTACCTCCCTCTGACTGTAAGGCCATGTAACATCCTATCATCTCTGGGGACAGGCATGCTTCTTGAATTTGCACACAAAAGCTATTTTTATATGATTTTTCCTAACCCTGGATGTTTTTTATATTAACTAAGACTTAGTTCATATTGAGCAAAAGCTGGGCAAAAGCTGGTTAAGAAATATTGTTCATATATTTTTCCAGGTGCTTATAAGGAATATTGAAATATCACAGTTGGTAGGAAAAGAATATTGGGGTAAGTAGCCGGATGTGGTGGCTCACGCCTGTAATCCCAGCACTTTGGGAGGCTGAAACAGGTGGATCACTGGAGGTCAGGAGTTTGAGACCAGCCTGGCCAACATGATGAAACCCCGTCTCCACTGAAAATACAAAAATAAGCCAGGTGTGGTGGCATGTGCCTGTAATCCCAGCTACTCAGGAGGCTGAGGCAGGAGAATTGCTTGAATCCAGGAGGTAGAGGTTGTAGTGAGCTGAGACTGTGCCACTGCACTCTAGCTTGGGCAATGAGCAAGACTCTGTCTCAAAAAAAAATTAGGATAAGTATTCTCTAGTGGATGGTTCACATATATCAGAAATAAATGATTTTTTAAGTTAGAGTTCAAAAAGTTGTTAATTTGATTAGAAATTAATGAAAATTATAAGGTTCTTATAGTGTACATTAAGCCTAGGTTTTTGAAAATACCTTTCTGATCCCATGTGAGTATGTGAGCAAAATTTGAATGGGACTTTTCTACTGCTGGAGGATTGCTGCCAGGCACCTAAACCTAGGAAGGAGAGGCTAAAGATCATAGCCCGAGTAGTTCCACCAACAGTTGCAATCACTCCCCATCTGGGCCACATACAGGGTTTCTCAGTCTGCGGTAAAGGACCCAGAAGTGGGATTACAGTCAATCTAGTGGATCACACCAGTGTTTTTAAAAAAGAAGTGGAATAGAATATAATGGGAAATGTCAGAATATGTAACACACAGTTGGGGTAAGTTTTGCTTCAGGAGACTTTACCTTGGTCTTCAGTGTGTGTTCAGGGTCATATTACAAATAGATTTCTAACTGGGTATGGTCAAAAAATGTTGGGAATCCACTTTACCAGGAGCTACATACTGATTCTCCCTCCGTCAGTAAGATCTGATGAAGAGAGATAGGCTTACAGTCACAGAGAGATGGGGAGAGCCTGGAAGATACATCCCAAAGATCACAGTCTCCACCTGAGCATCATAATACCCTACCTGATGGACAAGTATTTTCTTTTGATTCATTTCCAACATTTAAAAAGTAGAAGAATCTCATGGAAGAATACAGATATATGAATTCTTGTGAAAAATCAGAAAATCTGGCAGCACTGTGTCCCCATTCCATGCAGCCACAATGGGGCATGATCAGAGCTGAGTGGTACCCACACTCTGGCCAGGATATGATCTGCAGTTCACCATGGCCCCATCTTGTGCCATTCACTTGCGTGTCTGGTCTCTGATGTGGATGAAGAGGGAAAGAAGAAAGAGAAGGAAGGAAGGAAGGGAGGGAGGCAGGGAGGAAGGGGAAAGAAAGAGAAGGAGAGAAGAAAGGAAGAAAAGAAGAGGAAAGAAGAAAGAGAACAAAAGAAAAAGAAGGAAAAGGAAAGAAGGAAAGAGAAAGAAAAAGAGAGAAAGAGAAGACAATGAGGATGTGCAGGGTGTGATGTCATGACCAAGTATGTCATATATCATTAGACAAGTTGCTTTACCTTGATGTCCCGGTTTGTTTCCTTTCTTACACTGCCAGTCAGTCTGATATTTACTGGGATCCTATTAAGTGCCTGGAACCATTCTAGACCAACAGAGTCCTGCCCTTGGAGAACTTACAATCTAGGAGAGGAGATAGACAATAACAGGAGAACAAATAAGTAAGATAATTTGAGTGCTTATGAATGCTCTGAAGAAGATAAACAAGATAATGGATTTGAGAGTGACTATGATGGTGTAATTTGCTTTAGCTCAGGTGGCTCTGAAAGGTACCTTTGAGGAGCTGACAGCTGAGTAGGAAGGTGACTCATGAGAAGGAGGCAGCCATGTAAAAATCCATGGTCCAAGTGTCCACATGGAAGGAAAAGCAAGTGCAAAGACGGCACGGGAGCAAGTGCTGGTGGTAGAGGACCCGGAGGCCCGGTGGCTGGAAAGGGGTTGATCAAAGGAAGTTGGAGGGAGCTAAGGCCACAGAACTGCCCAGGGCCTCAGAACATGCAAAACACACCCAGCTGTGTTCTACTTGTTGTGAAAAGCCAATGTAGGGTTTACAAAAGGGGAGACAACATGATGTATACTTTTTCATCAACAGCAGTTCTCAATGTAGCTGCACATTAGAATCATCTGAGTTTTTCAAAAGCTTCACCACTAGAGTCCTGTGTCAACTCTGGTCAGTTAGAAAGGGCTGGTTATTGCAGGATCAAAGGGCTTGCTAAGATGAGAGGGGCTGGGACCTGGAGGCAAAGGGCACTTCTTATGAACAGGATTGCAGGTTTGGTGCAAGGACTCATCCACTGTTTTTAATTTTGTGTTCTTGCTTGTGAGGTTGAATACTGTGTATATTTCATGTGTGTAACTCTTGGGAGCGCACACTAGAAAACCCTGCTGCTTGCCGAGGTACACATTGATGTGAAAGTGACCGTAGTGGTGAGTGCTTTGCTCACCGTCTTCCTCCTCAGTGCTTCCCCAATGGCTTAGCTCCTTCCCCCCTGGGCTACCTGACTGTTGTCTCTGTGCTCTGGGAGGGGCCCTCTGAAGCTGTCAGTTCCCAGCACTGAGGACAGCTCCACACCTCCAAGGCGCACTGAAGCATGTATTCATCGTGGTTCTTTTATCCACCCTGTTTGCAGTCACCGCTCTTCACCATTCAGGCCATCTCTGAGGTCTGGGTCAGCATTCAGGAAAAAGTGGCAGCAAAAACTCATTGTCATTTTAAAAGTACCTGTCATCCAGTTAGAAAATTATAAAAGATGTTTGAGCTCTCCAGCCTTGGAATCACTGTCATTTGTCTGAGAGCTCCCTGGGTTCCGTTGCAGAGCTTCTCTGTTGTTTAGAAGAGGTAGCCTTTGTGGGGTGACTGAGGATGGAAGACATCCCTTCACTTGGTGTGAAGTCATTTGTGGCTGGCACTACCCCAAAGGCAGGGCCAGGGTGTGGTGGCCGGTTTGGAATTCCTGCTTTAAGAGAATGAAAGAGGAAGAGATTTGTGTAGTCATCTCCACAGGGCCAGCAGTATAACTACTTTGTGTTCACATAGGGTTTTTGGCTGGAGGTGGCACTGCTGTGAGTTCCTCCCCAGTCATTCAAGCCAGACAAGAGGCCTGAGAGCAGTCACCATCTTCTCAGCCATCCCTGTCAAACTCTCCGTCACCAAGCCCTCCACGTGCTTCCTGACTCGCTCTTGAGTCTGCATTCTCCCTTACCACTGTCACGCCGCCTCCATCCCTCTTGCCTCATCTTGTTTTGCTGCTCTTAAACCACCCTCTGCTCACTGGGGTACTGTAATGGTCTGCAGGTGGGTGGATGCAAGGCCTTCAGCCTGAGGAACAGCCAGTGGAGCCTGGGGATGCTGAGCTCCCAACACGACATGGCTGTGAGCAGCAGCCTTAGCCCTTTATCTCAGGGGACCATGAAAAATGATCATAAAGCACAAGAGGTTGGGAAGCAAATAAAGATCAGATTGCACCATCCTCTTGCTGAAAACTCTTCAGAGGCCCTGCTGTGCCTACAGAAGTGTTTGCCAAACTGAGTTCCAGGGGACTCCAGGGAACACTTTTGGCAAAACGGTAATAGCTTTTCTTTGGGAAAAGGGTTCAGTGCTCAAATAGGTCAGGGAAACATTGCCTACCTGTCATCTTCTTGGCGAGTCTCTGTGCACAAGTGTATTAAAATGTTGGTAAAGAAATTTGTTTAATTTTAATTCGACCCAGCGTTTCGCAAACCTGCTGGACTGTGGGATCTGTCTTTCGGGGACACAATTGGGAAACACACGCCTGCTGTAGAAGTTGGCAAACTTTTTCTGTAAAGGGACAGATAGTAAATATTTTAGACCTGGTCCATTTGGTCTCTGCTCAGCCTCTTCAGTTTTGCCATTGTAACATGGAAGCAGCCATCCACCAATTTATGGCCATTCTCATTCCTGATGAATGCCCCCCATGAAACTAAGCATGTATAACCATGGTCTGTATCTTCCTGGCAGAGAGTTGCAGCGCATTTTATGAAATTTGTAACGGATCACGGGTAAATTTCAAAAGGAGATGGCTCCCTGCAGCCTTACCATGCAGGACCAGTTCAGGTTCGCAAATATTTATTTGATACAAGTTATATACCACACCCCGTTATCAGCTCTCAGACAACAAATAGACAAAAAAGGCTTTTCTCTATTTGAAGCTTGAATTTCATGTAATTTTCTCATTACAAAATATTGTTTCTCTTTTGATTTTTTTCCAACCATTTAAAAATAAAAAAAGCATTCTTAGTTTGCAGATGGAAAATGAGGTGGGGCAGATTTGGTGGGGCTGTAGTTTGCTGAGCTCTGGTAGGGGCGGTGGGGGATGAAATCCAGCCCCTCCAAGTACACAGCTCTGTTGTCATCCAGCCCCAGCCTAGCATTCCAGGCCCTGCTCACGCCTGTCCTGGGTCTGCCCCCTCACAGTGGGTGTACCAGCAGGGTGGAATCCCCTGTGGTTCCCCACACCCACCCTGCTGTTTCAAGCCTCAGGCAAGACCTGCTGTATAATTTGCTGGGCCCATTGCTGAATGAAAATGTGGAACTCTTTGTTCAAAAATTATTAAGAGTTTCAAGATGGCCATAGCAGAGCCTTAAACCAAGTGTGGGCCCTTCTAAAAGTGGGGCCTGCCTGGTGACACGGGCAATGCACACTTGAAGTTGACTTTCACTCCAGACTTCTGTTCCCTTTTCTTCAAGCTGTTTACCTCTTATTAACCATTCAAAATGCGTCTTAGCCCCCGCCTCCTCTGTGAAGCTTTCTTTGACCAACTCCCAAACCCTCAAGTTTTCTCTACTCTCTCTGCCCACTCCTTACCCAGCTGGGACCACACGGGGCTGCATTTATCTCTTTACACATCTGTCCCCTTTGTCTCCCCTGCTAGATGGAGCAACATCAGTAAGAAAAGCCTTTTTCTCTGTTTGTTGCCTGAAAGCTGATAACGGGGTGTGGTATATAACATATGTCAAATAAATATTTGTGAACCTGAACTCGTCCTGCATGGTAAGTAAGGCTGCTGGGAGCTGTCTCCCTTTGAAATTTACCCAGGATTCATTACAAAATTCACACAATGTGCTGCAACTATCTGCCAGGAAGATACAGACCATAGTTATACATGCCCAGTTTCATGGGGGACATACATCAGGAATGAGAGTGAGTGCGCCGGGGCACTTGTAGTAATAACTGACAAGCTTACTTCAGTAGATTTGAAAATAGACAGGTGTAGCTCCTCCACGTATAGGTATGGTTGGGTTTCCCATCTAGAAGCTCCATGATGGCCAGGACTTGTTCACCATGACTTTACCCATGTAGTGAATAGCACCTGGCACATGGTGGTGGGTGCTTAATGAGTATTCAGGGAGTGAATGAATGAGAGAAATGAATGCTAAAAGACAACGATAGGCTAAAAAATACTTTGTAATCTGAAACAAATTGTGTGCTTTGAGTGATGTCATTTGAGGTGATGTGGTGATGTGGAGGGAGCCTTGGCCCAGAAGTCAGGATTCTTGCATTCCAATAATCATAATGACAGTAACTTCTAGGTTTTGAATGTGCTAGCACCATATAAGTCACTTTCCTAGGCCACATCATTTTAAATCTCACCACATCCCCAAATGGTGGGGACCATTGAAGGTGGCATGAATTGAGTGATATCCACATCACAGAGCAGGTGCTTGGGGGGCCTGCCCTCAAACCCAAGTATGAGCCAAAGCCCGTGCTCTTCCCACCCTATGGTCCTGGCTCTCCCTGTGACCTTAGACAAGTCACTTTACCTTTGGGTTCTCAGTTTTCTCATCTTAAAAAAAGAAGCCTAGAATTTCTAAGGTTCCTTTCAGTTTTAAAATTTAGTGTTTTGAAAGCAGGGAGTTTGGTCAGAGCAGAAGAATAGGTGGTTTTTTTATGATTAGTTTTTATTGGTTTGTTGGTTTCTTAGATAAGTACAGAAAGGGAAAGGAAACCTTGAGTCATTTTGAAAAATCTTGCAAAACAGTATTTTTCTGTATGAAGCTCATTCCCACCACCTCACACTGTACTGTGGGAGATTTACTCTCTTCCTCTTTAACAAAACGTTTTATCACAGACTACAGTTAGGTAGCAGCATAGACAATAAACTATTCCTAATATCAATTTGCTGATAAGGAAAGTGATATATGTCTAAGAATCTGCAGTCAAGAACAAAAAGATAAGATGTCTTCTTGCAACTCTATCTTATACCTCTCTAGAGGTGTGTTCCAGTGCCCTCTCCTTTCCATTGCAGAGTAGTGGTCTACTAGGCTAGGCCACACAATCTACCTCTCACCCCTCTAATCACCTCTCCTTCTCTTCACCCCCTCACATGCTGCATTCCTGCCATTCCTTGAGCACCCCATGCAGAGTGGTGCTAAAGAGTCCCCCACTTCAGCCTACCTTAGGGCCTCCACACCTAAGGTCTCTCTGCTCAAAAGACTCATCCTGGTCACCTGGTGGCTGGATGCCTCACCCCATAAAGGATTTGCCCTCCCTGCCCTACTGTACCCACCCTATTCCCAATCCCCTTGACCCTTCCCCACTTCTATACTTTGCTTTTTTCCACAGCACTTACTCTTTTATAATATGTCATATACCTTATTTGTTAATGGTGATTGCTTACTGTCTGTTTATTAGGATGTAAGCTCTGTGAGATCAGGGATCTGTTTTGATGTACACAAAGTGCCTAACACAGTGTTTGACATGGGAGAGCCACTCAGTAAATATTTTTTTTAGTGAAAAATTACTAACGTGATCAAATTCAAGAAGAAGAGCTGCTGTTATGGGACATGGAAATACTGAAGTGGAGTAGATAGTTTATAAGCCTGAAGTTGAGCATTTGCCTTCAAGTAGACTCTAAGCTGATAGAGATAAGATTCTGTACATTTTTACCTGCAAAACTGATGGTGCCAGGCTTAAGACACTGGTCTTGTGTATGCTCAGAAAGGCTTTGGCCAAAAAATTCCAGACTTAAATATAAGCAATGTATAACTTTTAAATCATATAAATTCTTAGATTGAAAGATAACATTTAAAGATAGTGATTCCTAAAATACTTTTAACAAAACATTTTCTTGGTTATATTGCAGCAAAGAAGACAGTGGAGTCCAAAGAAACAGTTATGATAGCAGACTCTATGGTGAAAACAAATGGGATTTATTTAACAAAATCAAATGCTATATGCCACTTAAAGAGTCACCCACTTCAGCTAACTTATGATGGAGGCTTCAAGGAAATAAAGGAGCAAGAAATGTTCAAAGGAACAACATCCTTACCATCTCATCTCAAGAGTGGAGGGTCAGTATTCTTTTTATTTAATTTTCTGGTCAGGATGACAGTATCATTTAACAGTTTCTTCTCTGTCTTATATAGATGATTGGTTTGCTTTTTCTCTTTTATATAAACAAATTTTAAGTTAAGGATACATTCATAGGAGAGACTATTTCTCATGGCTGAATGGAGTTGATTTTACATCATTCCTTGTGTAATACCCAGGAAAACTCATTCATGACTGTCAAAGTGCTACTTCTGTAGGACTATAGAGTAAGATTTAGTTGAGTGATGACTGATCATTCTGTTGGTATGTTATTTGGGATTCTTTCATGGCCTGGAATCTCCTATTATTTTCCTTTGGGTTAGTTCACTGTCTTTTTTTTTTTTTATTATTGCATTTTAGGTTTTGGGGTACATGTGCAGAACATGCAAGATAGTTGCATAGGTACACACGTGGCAGTGTGATTTGCTGCCTTCCTCCCCTTCAACCACATCTGGCATTTCTCCCCATGCTATCCCTCCCCAAGTTCACTGTCTTTAACTCCACAAGAGTGGACATTTATTTTATTCTTTCGTAGAGCTTGGATTACATATTTATTTTGCAAACTAGTGATTAAAACAGAAGTCGTCCTGTAGATTTCAGTTATCTGTGATATTCCTCCATTAGCCCTTCATAAATGAATGATTGGGAATTACTTTATTTCATACCATGTTCCTAGTTAGGGCTTCCTTGGGAATCAGTCTTCCTACCATATTTAGGATTTATGGAGAAACGCTTGCTGTATGGACTGTGAATTCTTATCCTAGTGTTTTACTGAAGAAACCTTGAATAATTGATGGCTAGAATGGGGGAAAGAGTGGAGCGAATAGCCTGTTTTCCAGTCCCAGCCAGTTGTGATGCTAAGAGAGGCAGAACATCTTGAACTGGACAGGGTCACTCAGTTTAAGTTATTTTTTCTTGGACTTTCCATTGGGTCATCATGGATAACTGCCCAGTTCAGATTTGCTTAACAAGATTAAATTCCATGGGCCATTTTAAGACCAAGTACTTCTTACACTCACGTTAGATTTCGGGTCTGACGTTGGCTTGGACACATGTGGCATCCTTAAAACTTTTTCCCCAAGTGGCTGCTTGGCAGCTCGTTAGTTTAGCTGAACCGACCCTGTCTGCTGACACAGTCTGAACAGTGTCACACACACGGAATTTATATTAAGCAACCTAGTAGTCCTTGTAATGTCGTTTTGCATTCAGAACATTTTTTTTAAATTAAAGGAAAAATGAGATGTCTCCTTAAGTGGAAGAGAATGATTTCAAGTTGGGACTTTGGGAGTTGAGCAGAAAACATCAAACTGGCCATTGCAGACAAATCGTTTCCAGTTGGTGAATAAGAATAGCCTGTGGACCTCAGAGCTTAAACATAAAAGGCAGCAGGAAAACTTGTATTTCTTTCAGCACTGAAGTAAAAAGGAGACATTTATCTTGCTGCATCCATCCTTACAGTAATGAAAGTTGACTAGAAAAACCAGACAAGAGCTATTTAATTTGTTTATTTGCAAACCTTCAGATGTGGCAGAATAATCTGGCAAGCCAGAGTTCATTATGTCTTCCTCATCCTGGGGCAGCAGGGGCATTTTCAGTTACATATTTTATCCCACAAACAGCAAAAGACAAATCAATTAGCACGTCTTCCTGACTGTCCAAAATTATGAAGCACTGGCAACAGCACTAATTGTTTTCTTTGTGTTTTGTTAGGACGGCTTTTACATCATATAAGAATTGTGTCTAAGTTGGGTTTGCAATGTACCCTGGCAAGGTTAACTTTCAGTAACATTTTTGCTTTATGAATCTTTACCACCTTTAATCATTGGGTGGAATTTTATTGGAGTGGTGCCAAAAAAAAGTTTATATAGTGGGATTAAAACAAACCAGAAAATGGAAACTCTTAGCAATTATTTCATTAATGACATTTATGAAAGAGTCTGGGACACTTGTTAATTGTTTCTTGTAAACATTTAAGTGACTAATTCCAAGAAATGATCTTTGCTATGCAGTGGAGTATTCCCAGTTTTGATGCTAGAGCCCTACCCTCAATTAGCATTTTTTCATCTTTAGACCATAAAGTGGAAAATGAAGATTCTTGTCGGTGAGCTGGGCTGGCAGGAGCAGGGAGGGTTGAGAAGGAGTGTGTAAGTAGACCGTGGAAAGTGGACGATGAGGTGAGGACACACTCCCAGTGTGGGGCCTTGCAGGCTTCTCTAGTGTGAGAGGGGCCACCTGTGTGGTGTGTGTTTATCTGGCTGGGAGAGGAAGGAGATTTTATTTACATGAAACTGTAGTAATTGTATACCCTAATTTAAAATATGGATAATTCAGACATGGAATGGACTGGAGTTAACTTTATGCTGGTTATGATGGGGAAAGGATTTGCTAAGCAAAGTATCATTGAGAACAATATTTTAGGGGACCATTTAACTTTACAAAAGAGAACACACTTTCAAGCACTTATGAAACTGTTGTCCTCAAACCTTGTGCCAGTTATGATGGTCTCTATATGTCTATTTAGGGATTCATTTAAGGTCTAGCAGACTTGCTACTCAGCAAAACTTCACCATCACTTGCTTTGTATTGCTATACAGACTGAAAGTAATGCAGCTGCCATTGACAAAAATGTGTGTATACTCCATCCATCCATCCACCCATTTACCCATCTACCCATCTACCCATTGATATATCTACCCATACATTCACCCACACACCCATTTATCCACCCATTCACCCATCCATCCACATACTCATTCACCCCTCTGCCCACCCGTCCATCCATACACCTGTTGGGTGCCAGCCCCAACTCTTTTTGTGGATGCCCTTAGTCCTGGTGGTGAAGAGGGAGTGAGAAAAGAAGTAAAGACAAAGGTAAGAGTATAGTTTCACAGTATGGGTCCAGGGGACCAATGCAAGCTCCCAGGGGACAGCGTTGGCCCTGAGCTCTGGGCTCCACACACTTTTATTAGGTGCATTATCTTATTAATCTTGGGGACTATGGTGAGGGGAGGTGAGAAAGGTAAACTAAAAGCTATTGCAGGGTAAGATGAGGGGTGAGGGAGAGCGTGTGTCTGCAGCATTCAATTGCATATGTGGTTCTTCTAAGAAATGCTAACTTAGGACACTGAGTTTTACCACCCATGGTTCTCAAGGTGCATCTGCATAGAAGCACAGGGGACCCACCAAGTCTGACCATACACAGTACATCAAGGGGCTTTTATCTCCCAAGCATTGCTGACACAGAGCAATCAGAGTTACTCCATATTCTGAGAACCTAGTCAGAGCCTGTGGCATTCTAGTTATCTCTGTCCTTCAAGGCTTTCCTGCCTTGCAAGCTCCCATCTGCAAAGACCCTTCCAAGTCTTGTGAGCAGAGGTCGCATTCCTTCCCAGAGTTCTTGCACAAGCCCTCTTTACAAGACCCTCATGCAGACTCTGTGTTAGGAAGAGATCATGGGACCAAAGCAGTCTTTCCTGCCTTGCAACCACACTGCTATGTTCCACGGTTTTGAAGTGCTCTCATATGGTCTTCACTAGGGGCTTCCTGTTACCACTTGATTTCTGTTTTTACAGACCTTAAACAATTTTTATTTTACTGCACCATTATTTGGAGTTTTCTTAACTCAATATTTGATCCGTGGCATGAATCTCAGTATATAAAAAGCAAAGCAAGCTTGTAATCATTTAACTAGAAATAACATAGGTCTGCGCCTGGCCATCTTGGCCCACTTATATCCACCTACCCATCCATCATCCACCCATCTATTCATCCACCCATCCACCCATCCTTCCATCGACTCATCCATATATCTACCCATCTGTCCACCCATACACCTATCCATCCACCTATCCATCCATCCATCCATCCATCCATCCATCCAGCCATTCATCCATCTACCCATCTACCATCCATGTATCTCCCCATCCATCTACCCATTCACCTAGCCATCTACCTATCCAACCATCCATTTATCTATCCATCCATCCACCTACCCATCTACCCATCCATATGTCTCCTGATCCGTCCACCCATTCACCCATCCATTGACCTATCCACCCATTTATTCATCTATCCATTCATCCACCCATCCATATATCTACCCATCCATCCACCCATGCACCCATCCATCCACCTATTCACCCATCCATTCATCCATCCATATACCCATTCACCCATTCATCCACCCATACCTACCTTTGCACCCATTCACCTGTTGCTCATCCATCCATTCATTTACCCATTCACCCATCTGTTCATCTACCTATCCATCTATCCATCCACCCACCCACCCACCCACCCATTCACCCACTCATTTGTCCACTCATCCATCCACTCATCTACCCATCTATTCATTCACCCATCTATCAATCCATCTGTCCGTCCGGCCGTTCATCCATCCATCCATGGATAGAATCTGTTTCAAAGCAGATGAATCTCTTTAAGCTTTCTGACATTAAAGTGAATGTCATGGTTTGGAAATGTGACCTTTAGGAGGAAAGCCCAAGAGCAGCCAATTGTTATGGAGAGTCAAGGACTCTTCTTGATGAGCCAGGATCTCTGGATTTAGATTTGGTCCTCTCTCAGCCACTTGATTTAGCTGTATTTGGCAAGTCTCTTCACACTTTCAGGGGCTCAGGTTTCTAATCTATAAAATGGAAATAACTCTGCTCTTTTACTCCCATTTCCTTCTAGCCTTCACTATAGGTTGGGAATGATGACTAAGGCTTGAAAGCCTTACTAATAAACTATCGAGTGCTCTTGGTATTGTTGAAATCAAAAATAAGAAAAGAGAGCTTCTGGTTAAAGGCACAAAGGCATTCTCTAGAAATCCAATGAAAGCAGCAAAGAATGAAAAACAGAGAAATAGATTTCATCAATTAAACAGAAAAAAATGGCTACGACCCTGAACTACACAAGATGCAATGCAAACTATACACTGCAATATGGGCTTGAGTTTTTTTTTTTGGTCTGCTTGGCAAAG